CCACACCACAAGCCAGGCAAACACCTGGGCACAAACAGACTCCCCCTGATACCTCCAGCTCAAACACACCCCAACCAGGCACCCAGATGAAACCTAGCTTCCTAATAAATAATGGCCATCCATTTACTCAGAGCCAAGCCGCCCTAAAAGCCTCCAACACAGGAAACACAATGTTGCCAGCCAATCAAGACAAAAAAGCTACAAAACAGACAGAAGATATTAGAAACACCGATCAAGCAGAACACAGCAAACTCCAAGACCAATAAACACAGACCAAGACTCCCAACCAATCAGGATGAAGAAAAAACCATTCTGGTATAGCAGTAGGCAAGCCCCAAATTTAAAACTGAAACGGCTGTGAAAGTCTGACCCAAAGACGAACACAATACAGAAGCCTGATGATGGCAGATGAGATTCTGCCCAAACGTTGCTACAACTTTAAAAGCGCAACTATAATGACGTGGGAAAATACCCGAACAAAACTGAATACCATATATATATTAGACCAACACATTTGATCAAAAAGCAAATCCCAAAACCAGATTTCCTTCTGTTTTTTGGCTACCAAGGACTAACACAGCTACCCTCTCAAACCAGAAACAACACCAACAAGCAAGTTTGGTCCTCTACTTTATGTATGCGTGCTGCCACCTTCTGGTTATTATACAGAAAAAGAAGAAATTGCCTCCCAAATAAATTCAGTTTATATTAGCCGCAAGTGGGGGGAAGGAGAAATCCCTTTGCCGCCAAAGTGTCCCATTTCATGGAAGTCAGAAAGCAAGAAGAAGAAAAAAATCCAACCTATTTTAAAAGGTGAAACAGGACTTCGTGAAATTGTAAGAAAAGAACAGAAGTCTGTGCTTGGCATTCACAATTCTAACCCAGCTGTTCCAACTACAGGAAGCAGAAAATGCAAATATGTTTAAGCTGTGTGTGAAGTTTAGCTGAACCAGCTACAATTTCTTCTCTTTTCACATTTCCAGGAGAGGACGAGAAAGAAGAATTCAGTGATGGTGGTTTGCTTTCCAGGAGGAGGTGGAGAACAGGGGTGGGCTTCAAATTTTTTAGCAAGGGGCTCTCTGCCCTAATGACTGACTGGGTGGGCGTGGCTGGGTGGTCATGTGGCTGGGTGGGTGTGGCTGGGCGGCCATGTGATCAGGTGGGCTCAACTAGGTGGTTGTGTGACTGGGTGGGTGTGGCCAATTCAACCTCGCTTCCTTGCCCTAATTACCTAAAAAAAGATATATACCAAAAAGTTTTTCTATTATTTCATGCATTTAATACTTAAATAAAAGTCTGGGTGAAACCAGGCTTAATAGCAGTGACTGTGAGAGGGATCTTAGAGGAGTTTCTAGTGAGTTATGTAATTCTCATTATTTGGAAAATAATCCCCTCGGAGGGAAATGGCTATGTTATCTGATTTCTCTCAATGCCTTTCCCTCGCAAGCGCTGCGTGGATTGTTCATCTAGCTTGCAACACGTTTTACGAGGTGTGAAATGCTCTTGGCTGAAGGCCCAGAAGTTCAATTAAGCCTATTAAGAGCTTTCCCTTGCTGCTTGTCTTTCTGAAGTTATTGAGGGCTCTCCGAGCTCTGCAGAGTCTTAGCTAGGGGCTCTCCCGAGCCCCTGTGACCCCCCCCACCACCTCCCCAGCAGCCCATCCCCTGGACTGGAGAGACAGGAATTACCACAAACGTGTCAACCTGGAAATAAGGAGGAATTTTCTGACAGTGAGAACAATCAACCAATGGAACAGAAGCTGCCTTCGGAAATTGTGGGAGCATCATCACTGGAGGCTTTCAAAAAGAGGCTGCACTGGCATCTGTCAGAAATGGTGTAGGGTCTCCTGCTTGGGTGAGGGGTTGGACTAGATGACTTCCAAGGTCCCTTCCGACTCTGTTATTCTGTGAACCCTATAGGCACTCCTGGTTAGCAACCCTTTGGCGTTGCAATGGGCCTCCTTGTAGCTACAGACAACCCTTTAGTTGTCAGTTATGATGGCCGCACAAATACGGGATTGCATTTTGGATGCATGATAAGCAACTCAGTTACAGCTTTTGCTGAATCCCAGAGTCACATGACTATGATTTTCAGCATTGTTTTTTGCTGGTTTCCACATTTGTTTCCAATTTCTGCCCCCGCCCCCCAAAAAATGCCCATTGTGGAACACGGGTTTACTTAATGTGCATGGCTTTCACTTAACGTTGCACAGTTGTGTGTGGTCATGTGATGACCTGTTTCATGACTACCAGCACTTGCCTCAAAGAGAAGCAGATCAACTTATTTTCCAAAGCACCAGCAGGTAAGAGAAGAAATGATGGATGGAAACTAACCAAGGAGAGAAGCAACCTGGAATGAAGGAGAAATTTCCTAAGAGCGAGGATAATTCACCAATAGAACAAATTGCCTTCAAAAGTTGTGGGTGTTTCATCACTGGAGGTTTTTAAGAAGAAACTGGACAGCCACTTGTCTGAAATGGCACAGGGTCTCCTATTTAAGCAGGGGTTTGGACGAGAAGACCTCCAAGGTCCCTTCCAGCTTTGTTCTGATTGCAATTAATCGATTTCTGGGATGGTGCATTATGCAAACTCAGTGCGTTGGGCTACATTTGATTGTGCACGATGGTGTTCGTCGATCTGAAAAGCGGAACCTGCAGCACTGGGAATAACTCTAGGAAGATGATGAGGATGGTGGTGGTATTGGAACAGAAGCCTAGGAGGTTAGACTAGAAGACCTCCAAGGTCCCTTCCAGCCCTATTCTGATTGAATTAAGGTTGCAAGTCAAGGACTATCTATACTTCCCATATATGCCATAGATGTGAAGATTTGGCACCGGAATTAGCAGTTTTCTCCTGCCTCAGAAGTTGTTCCATTTACAACCGCGGATCTTCTGCTCGTCCTTATTAGATTGGAAGGACTGAGCAACAGACCTTGTTCCTCTGTGGAGGGATGCATGGATCTGTGCTGTGTCATGCAAAGAAGGCAGCCCCCTCATTTCTTCATCTTTCTTTGACTTAGCCATACCTGCCCACATCTTCCAAATTGGGTGGTCATTATACAGGTAGTCCTAAACCATTCATTTAGTGACTGTTCAAGGTTACAACAGCATTGAAAAAAGTGACTTATGACCAATTTTCACACGACCATTGCAACATCCCCATGGTCACTGTCAAGAGTACATTCATGAACTGGAATAGAACATGGTAATAAGGTCAGCCAATGAATAGGCATAGCAACTAAGTCAGCCAATGAGGACTGTTTGGAAACTGAAACTAGAAGCAGCCTAGGCATGGCTCTATATTAAGCTCTGCAGCTCTGAGTCTATTGAAAATGAAACTCTCCTCTGCTGTGTGACTTGCTTGCCTGCTGAACTAAAGTGAAATTGATGTCTCTTTCTGAGGAGTTGTTCTGCTCTGAACCTGTAACATGTCTGCTTCTGTCTGAGTTTGCTCCATGTTGGAGAAATTTACAACTGGTATTGTAAAACTTGCTTTATATGTTTATAAAGAAGTTAAAGTCACTCAGTCATCTGTGTTTACTTTTCTGGTGCTGAATTTACGCTGCAATACTCTGAACAGTCACATGATCAAAATCCAGGTGCTTGGCAACTGGTTCATATTTATAACAATTGCAGTATCCCAGGGTCACGTAATCACCTTTTGCAACCTTCTGACAAGCCAACCCTCTACACAAGCAGGAGAGCCTATATACCGTTCCAGACAAGTGGCTGTCCAATTTCTTCACCTCCAGTGATGGAGCACCCACAACTTCTGAAGGCAACTCGTTCCACTGGTTAATTGTCCTCACTATCAAGAAAGTTCCCAGTTCTAGGCTGGTTCTTTCCTTGATTAGTTTCCACCCAATGTCTCACTTAGCAACAGAAATCGTGGGTCAACCGCAGTCATAGGGTCAAGGACTACCTGCACGACATTGAAAAACAAGTCCTCCTGCATTTGCTTCTATTAGTATTTATTCCATTCCAGGCAACAAGATTTGCTTTCAATTTTTATTTCGAAGAAGAAATGAAGAAGAGAGGGCTTTCACGTAGTCAGCAGATTGGGCCCGTTTTGATGATCAAAGGAAGGCGTGGGACTGTCTCCATTGCAGCCTTATTTTCCCGGCAGTCAGCAGCCAGCCAGGCTCCTCACTCTTGCTCAATCCCAGGAAAGGATGTCATGAGAAAAACTCCACCGGCTGGCCTGTCCCAGGAGAAAGGGCAAGCCCTCCAACGGTGGTGTCAAGAGTGAGGGAAAGAGGAGTCAGTGAAAGCAGCCACATCGGCCGCAACCCATCCTTTGCCACTTCCCACAACGGAATCAGTTCAAAGCAACCAAGAGAAACCCTCAAACATCCTGAGAGGAAGACAGCAATTTACAGAAACCTCGTTCTAAAAGGGAAGAAAAACTCAACCCAGGCAAACTTTCCAACACCGCATTAATTTAACCCGGAGGTGCCATAGGCCAGGGGTGTCAAACTCAATTTCACTGAGGGCCGTGTCAGGGTTGTGTTTGACCTCGAGGGTGTAGCCAGGGTGGGTATGGCCAGCTTGACATTATTCATGTTGGGCACCTGTGATGGTCTGAGCCAACGGGCCCCCAAGCTTGGTTTTTGGCTGTGACGGCCTCCTGCGACCCTCTGCCAGTGAAAATGGAGCTCAGAGGGGCTACATGCAGCCCTCATGAGCTGTTTTCGGCTGTGATGGCCTCCTGTAACCCTCTACCAATGAAAACGGAGCTTGGGGGGGGGCTACATGCGGCCCTCATGAGCTCTGTTTTCAGCTGGGATGGCCTCCTGCAACCCTCAACCAGCGAAAATGGAGCTGGGGGGGGCTACACGTGGCCCTCAGCTCTGTTTTCGGCTGGGACGGCCTCTTGCAACCCTCTACCAGTGAAAACAGAGCTCGGAGGGGCTACACGCGGCCGTCATGAGCTCTATTTTCAGCTGGGACAGCCTCCTGCAACCATCTACCAGTGAAAACAGAGCTTGGTGGGGCTACATGTGGCCCTCACGAACTCCATTTTCACTGGCAGAGGCAACGCGGGACAGTCTGCTGTTTCCAGGATGGTCCCATGGGCCAGATCTAAGCACCCCGCCGGCCCTATCCATCTGCCGTGCCTCGAGTTTGACATCCCTGCCATAGATCAAAACTAGGACCTCCTCCTCCCCAGATGAGGGCATCAATGGCTTATCTTCACCACGAATGTGTTCATATGTAGCATGAATTAGTATCTTTTTCAAGTGTTGGCTATCATCACAACTATTTTGCGTTAGGGTTTCAATAAAATAACATGGCAAAAAGGGCTGAAATTTGGCAATATTAGCACTGATACCTTGTGGATTCTTTGGAAAGGTTTTGGCCATTCTTATTATTTGTTTTAAAAGGCAAATGTTTATGGTTTAATTTTGGGTCCTCTTAAGGCAGGAGGGGCTCCAACCTTAGCAACTTTAAGACTTGTGGACTTCAACTCCCAGAATTCTTCAGTCAGACAGGCTGGCTGAGGAATTTTGGGAGTTGAAGTCCCCAAGGTTAGAGACTCCTGCTCTAAGTGACCAAAAGAAATGGGCCACTGATGCTATTTTAGCCAGTCTCTTTGTGATTTGATTCCAAAAAAGGTGTTTCCAGAGATTGCAGGGAGACATCAATGCAGCTGCTTTAAAGAGTTGGCGGGTTCTAGATTCATGTTCCCGTGTGGTCCATAGCACTTTTCCAAATTACTTCTTAAACAACCCTATGCATTTCAACTCCTTTCCTAAGGCACTTCAGATCTGGAATACAAATAAATCATTTGAGGTAGCTGTGAGTTCCCTGCAAATGTAAAGCTGGGCAGCAAAAACAGCACTAGAACAATTCAAGAATAGCACAAGAAAAGCTCAGTTCAGGACACAGTTGTCCTAGCAAGTCGCCGGACGTACATAAAACACTGTGTTGTATGCATCCCGATTCCAATGTTGCAGGGTTGGTTAACTTCTGGCAGATTATTGGCTTGTGAGTGCAGATTTCATCCCAAATCCACAGTATATAATCAAATCAGAGCCATCCAGTGCCTGAAGATACTGTGTAGTAAACATCTGTCTGTTATGATACCTAACTAAAAAATAATTAAAAGGAGGAGTGGCAAGTCACACCCTTGCTTAAATATATCTAAAAAGCTCCATGAACTGGTGAAAGCAACAGGAAACAAGAGCTGCCAGCCGGAGTGGGCCTCATCAGTCGTCACCACCACAAATCTTGAGCAAGGTGCGTCGATAATCCCCAGAAGTATCTGACTGCAATAAAAAGAGGACCGGTAACATTATTTTCAAGTAGCTTATAGCCCCTTCCACAATTACACAGACAAGCCTCATTTTCCTTGCCTCTGAAATGGAGGTTTATTTGCCGCCTTCTAAAAGCACTCCGATTTTAATTTTAGTCGCTTTAGGTTGCTTGTTTTTGTTCTCCTCTGGTTATTTAAAATTTAATTTCCCATTTGGAACAAGCACTGATCTAGGGAGCACCTGCCCAATTCCAATGATCTTTTCAAACCTACCGAGGGTTGAACCTGTTTAATAAGAATACCAGTCACGAGGGTGAAAACAGAAGCTGCCTGAAATAACATCTGTGGCTAGCCCAAGTCAATATTTTAGAAGTGCTCCCAAATGTTTGTGCGCTTCCTCTGTCTCTACTGACACCAACTTTGGGGTTGTCAAGTCTTACACAACTCCGTAGCTCTGTTGCAGAAACACTAGGACAAAATCATTCTGTGTAACAGGAATTTGGAAAAACTGTAGCTGTTTGTTTTGTCGTTCTCAGAACATTAACTCAGGGAGTGAAGGGAGAGAGAGAGAGAGAGAGAATTTATCATTTGTCAACCAATATCGCAAAATCTCTCTGTGCAGAACTCAGAAAATCCTTTTTCATTTAGAGAGGCATCGCAATGATCAGTTCCAATGAGGCCTGCTGAACACATTTGCATGCCCCTCGGCATAAGATCCTGTTAAGCCCTAATGCGGTTTGCTCCGCCGCAGCTTAGTTTGCCGCGTGAGCCTCATTTACTTGGGATTGCTGAACACGGGAGCAAAGCATAAGCTTACCTGCTTTCAGTGCGTGTGAACGAGCTTCACGGGCACTAATACGCAAAGCTAATACTCCCTGGTAATGTGGATTAACAAACCAGGGGTTGCAGGCCACACTAGGGAAGCAGAAGGAAGCAGTTTGTCCCTACGCTACGCGGAAGCAGGCATAACTTTGGGGCGACTGCAAGGAATTATGGGTGTGCCAAAAATGGCGGCCATTTCCAGGAGGCAGCCACAGGTGGGGGGGGGGTCAGCCCAAGCCTGTGTGGACCCTGTGGGACAGGATGGCGGGGTGGTGGCAGAAAGACAGGGTGCTGCAACACCTCTGTGGTCAGTCATAAGAGTGAATTCTGGAGGGCGCATAGCACCAATTATGAATTTAAAATGGGGTCATACTTGGCTTTGGGAGGGTGTCTGACAAACCTTTGAACAGGCATTAAGCGATAAAAGAGAATATTTGTAGTTCAGGATTGAAATGAGGCATCCTTGATGGTCTCTGAGCTTGGTTGTTTCCTTACAGACATTTCATTACCAAACTAGGTAACATCATCAGTGTTCTGATGTTGTTACCTAGTTTAGGTAACGAAGCATCTGCAAGAAAAAGCACCAGGCTCACAGAGCACCAAGGACCACCATACACTTCAAATAACTGGTCATTAACTGAGGACTACTTGTACTCGAAATACACAAGGATCTGGATTTGTTGCATCAAAACAAGCTGATGTGAAGCCTAAAATTGACATATGTGTGTAGCCATTTTATTTAGCCTTATAATATATTCCTTTTCTTTCTTTCTCTTTGCTGGTTATGGGGGGAAGAGTTTCGGGCTTGCCACATTCCTAAGGTGGGAGGAGTGGAAATAGAGAGAGTTGTTTAGGCTAGGTGGTTCTTCTTCCAGTGGGAACGAAAGCTGACCCTGATGAGACCTGGAGATGGAGATTGATGACACCAAGCAATGTTGATTTACTTCTATTGGGGAAGGTGAGTTTTGAGGGCTGTTATTCTAATTTCCAATATTATGTGGTGCAATTCCAGGTTGTGTCAGTTCTGGAATTACAACGGACTTTGCCAATTTGATTGCTTTCCTAAATAAAAGAAATTGTTATGGAAGATGGACTTTGCACTTTATTTTTAAATGGATTTCATCACTTGGAAACCTGATAACTGAATTAGTCGGCCATGAATACACCATGTTTAAAATCTTCACCATAAGCCAGAATACTTCAGCAACCTGCCTTACCGTGTGCTGTTTCTGCTTACAATCCGATCACCCACACCTAGAAATTTGGAGAGTCCCTGAGATATAAACTGAAAGTACTCACACTAATAGCAGAATACAGAGACTCTCCATAGAGATTCTTGTATTCGTGTCGAATATCCAGAAGATCAATTTCTGACCTAGATACTAGAATTCTGGTCAATGTGACTTCATCAGTTCCAGGTCCCTGTAAACAAAGGAGGAAAACAACAACAACCTTCATTAACGAGGAATTTTTAAACTCCGCTTCCAAAAACACAGAACATATTTTTACACCAGAGACCCAAACAGCTTTAAATAGTCAAAACATGAGCAGATCAGGTTTTTTTAAAAAACTCAAAGAGATATGGCATTTTAATCAGTAATTTTTTAAAACTGGGGATCCCTAATAAACGATCAAGAAAATTGTGGTTTAGATAATATCTAAGTATTTATGCCTGGTTTTATCTATAATGATCAAAAGCTGCCTTCTGTAGTTGTCGGGGCTGCAACTTGGTCATTAAGCGAAGCGGTTGCTAAATAAAATCCTGACTGTGCTCACACTCTTACTTCAGCTTTCCTTCGCTTTACAGACCCGCAAAGATCATAAATCTGAGATTGGTCGCCAAGTTGTTATTGTTTTTCATTGTAATTGCAAAGGTCACTGTAGAAGATAGTCATTAAACAAGGATTAGCTGTATTAACATACCGTAGACACATATGCTGACCATGGTTTTATTTATATGCTGTGTTGACCCTGGAGATTGAATAAACTTATTTTCTGGATTAGCACAATCCATCCAACTAAGTGACCTAAAAACTATGATTTAATGGTGACCAAGTTTAGCATATTGTGCAAACTCTTTGACTAACTGACCAGGTTAAATATGCAGGGTATGGTCCAGAGGTGGTATTTAGCTGGTTCTGACCAGTTCTGGAGAACCGGTAGCAGAAATTTTGAGCAGTTCGGAGAACCAGCAAACCCCACCTCTGACTGGCCCTGCCAACCCCATCTCTTCCCTGCCTCCCGAGTCCCAGCTGATTGGCTGGGTCTCCTTTGGTTGCCCTGCACAGGAGAAGGGAGCTGGAAAGCAGGTTAGTGGGGTGGGGAGGGAATGAGGATTTTGCAGTATCCTTCCCCTGCCACACCCACCAAGCCACGTCCACAGAACTGGAAGTAAAAAAATTTGAAATCCCACCACTGGTGTGGTCTCAGTGCCAGAATAATTTCCCTAATCTATCCATTTTAAATTATCCTCATTCTTATTTCTGTCCTCTTACATCAACGGGAATCGAGGCTAAAGAAACTTCATGAACATAATGATGCTCTACAAACGGTGCAAAACGGTGCATGATGTGTGTGACATTATTGTGGCTTCTACCAAATGCTGAAGCATTCAAGCCGGTTTTTCCAGGGGTCCTATACTTTGCTTAGCTTTGCATACCAGGTTCTCCTGCCTACATCATCCTGAGAAACGTCTTCAGAAATATTGACATATAATGCACTTAAAACGATAGTAGGAAGGGACCTTGGAGGCAGGGGTGGGGCCGCTCCCAGTTCACACCGGTTCACGTGAACCGGATTCTAATTTTAAATCTGGTTCACCGAACCTGTAGTTCCAATGACTGGTTGGCCCCACCCACCCTGCCCCTCCCTTCCTAGGAGTCTCCAGGCAGCCCATTTTGGATCCCAGATAAGTGCAGGGGCCACGTGGAGGCTCAGGGAGGGCGGAAAATGGGTTTCCGGAAAGCCAGACATAGGCCCGTTTCCGGCCTCCAGAGAGCCTCCGGAGCCCAGGGAGGGCGAAAAACAGACGTTCGGGCCTCCCAGAAGTTTGGGCAGAGGGCTTCCGGAACCTGGGGAGGCTATTTTTGCCCTCCTGGAGTCTCAAGGAAAGCCTCCAGAGCCCAGGGAGGGTGAAAATGCCTCCTCCCTGCCGCCATAGTGCAGAAGGCTGACTAGGCCACGCCCACTATGGCCACCCCCACCTAGCAACTAGGCAGAGAACCGGTGGCTAAATTTTTTGAAGCCCACCCCTGCTTGGAGGTCTTGTAGTCCAATCTCTGCTCAAGCCGAAGGCCCTATAACCATTCTAGACAAAAGGCTACTCAATCTCTTTTGGAAAACCTCCAGTGATGGAGCCCTCACAACTTCTGCATGCAGATCGTACCACTGATTAATAGTTTTCACTATCAGGAATTTTCTCCTTAGTTCTAGGTTGGGTCTCTATTTTAACAAGCTTCCATCCATTACTTCTTGTCCCGCCTCCAGGGGCTCTGGAGAATAAGAGCATCTTCTCTTCTTAAGTGGCAGCCCCACAAGTACTAGAAGACAGCTATCCTATCACCCCTAGTTAAACTAGGCATACCTAATTTCCTCGACTGTCCATCATACGGCTTTGCCTCCAGACCCCTTATCATTTGGTTGCTCTTCTCTGCCCTCTTTCGAGATCACCTCAGGCTCCCCAGTCAAAACAACAAACTTCTGCGTTTACAGGGTGATTTATCTCAAAGCTGAACGAAGCAGGCAAGCTGTAATTTGTTGGGAGAACAGCCAATTTGCAGAACAACCCTCCATCCCTCTTACCTAGAGAGAAACCTTCTTGAAATTATAAATAATTGCCGGCTAATAATGCGGGCACCAATCAGCAATGTGATTGGCGGTTCTGGATGACCTGACTTTGGGCAAAACAATCTCATATCTGTCTTACCTTTATGGATCTGTGCAGTTTTTCAGCAAAGAAGGCAGGAGCGTTATTTACACACTTGACTATAAAAAGAGAGGAAAACCAGAATTGAACATAAATAAGCCTTTTATGCTATTCTGGCTATATTTTGCAGAGGATTGGAATACAAAGCAGAAAAACAGCCTGGTAAATTATTTAAGCATTTGCGAATCATCCCACATACGAAATGCATGAACAAGACATGGGAAGCGCATCTAACAATTAAATCCGTAAATAAATAAAATATTAACCTGAGGGCTCGTACTTGATTACAACCATTTACATGGTTTCCTTACTATAACCCTCTTGCGCATAATTTTTATATGTACATTTGCAGTGTGGTTTCGGCAGATTTTCATCAGATAAAGAGCAAACGCACCTATCAAAATTACATTTTGGAGCAGGGCGAGTGTAGAAATGCACCCTCCTCTTTAGCTGCTGTATATGGTTTAAGATTAAATCTGCAGTTTGCTTTTCCACCAAAAAAAAAAAAAAAAAGCCATTCAAAATAAGAGCTTAGTGACAAAACGTTTCAAAACAGACCTCAAGAGGAGGGTTGGAAATCTATTTTGTCTTACGAAGTTCCTGATCTTTGAAAGCAAACCAAGGTTTTTGCAGGAATACGGAAAACGGCATTCATTTCTTGCACTATATTTATATACAGCCCCAGGTGCCTAAACATCTAAAAACTAAGATTTTTTTTAAAAGGAGTCTAAATTCAAAATGTCCTAATGAATATCAGGTTTGCAACTGCATCATTTCCTGCACTGCTTCATTGTCCTTTACAGCCCTCGCGAAGAAGTTTACAGAATCAGCATATTTCCCCTAACAATCTGGGCCCTCATTTTACCAACTTCGGAAGGATGGAAGGCTGAGTCAACCTTGAGCCGGTCAGGATCAAACTGCTGGCAGTGGGCAGAGTCAGCCTGCCCTTCTGCATTCTAACCATGCACATTCGCAAGATCATCGTACGCTTCCCTTACCTACGGCCAAAAGGAGTTCGGCAAAATCGCCCGATGTTTCGTTAAGCACGCTGTCCTCCATCTGGTGTCCACTAAGTTTTTTGTACTCCTCAAATGCTTTAAGAAAGGACAAAAGAGAACAATGTCAAGCCGCACGTACTTTAAGATGCCTGAACAAAACGCTTTTACTTCTCTGTGTGCAAGCCATCACTCTTTTACAATATATTATTTGTAACAGCCTGAAATCCTATTTTCCATGCTTTTTTTTTTAAAAAAAAGCAGGGATGTCAAACACAAGGCCCACGATCTGGTCAGATCTGGCCCTGGGGGCCATCCTGGAAAATGTAAGGGACCGACCCGCATTGCTTTGGTCCCATCTACCCAGTGTGAAGAGGAAACTTAGCAGCAGTTTGGGGAGTGGTGTTAAGCTGGCCACACCCACCCAGTTGGCCACACCCACACAGTCAGCTATACCCACTCCCCCCGTCCCTATTCCCACCCACCCCCTGAGGTCAACCACAGCCCTGATGGGGCCCTCAATGAAATTGAGTTTGACACCCTTAGAACTAGTCCAGCCTGAAGATGCTTTTTTCAGCCTTATTCCTCACCTGGGCTTATCTGACCAGTTATTCTTCCTCCTCTTCCTCCAAGTTTTTCTCACAGCCTATTACAGCTCCTGGGATTCTGCTCTCACCCCTATCAGTATATCCAACAGCCATAGCACTTAGACTTATATACTGCTTCAAAGTGCTTTACAGCCCTCTCTAAGCCATTTTACAGAGTCAGCCTATTGCTGCCTCAATCATCTGGGTCCTTATATTTTATTGTCCTCGGAATGATGGAAGGCTGAGTCAATTATTGAGCCGGTCAGGATTGAACTGCTGGCAATCGGCAGAATTAGCCTGCAGTATTGCATTCCAGCCACGGCTCATCTGATGTCTGATGGTGTTAACCAACCAGCATGACTACAATTCTAGCCTCAGTTATGGTCATAAGTCAAGGACTACCTATATTAGCCAACCAAGATTAATTTGAGCCATGGTAGCGCAGTGGTTAGAATGCAGTACTGCAGGCTACTTCTGCTGCCTGCCTGCAATTTAGCAATTCGATCCTGACCAGCTCAAGTTTGACTCAGCCTTCCATCCTTCTAAGGTGGGTAAACTGAGGAGCCAGATTGTTGGGGGCAAGAGGCTGACTCTGTAAACCGCTTAGAGAGGGCTGTAAAGCACTAAAGTCTAAGCACTATTGCTAAGTGCTATTCCAGACTTCCTGGATTGGGCTTCCTAAGACCATGATCCTCAGCCACTATAATACATCTGAAGAACATTGGACAAGAGAAAGTTAATAACATATATGGCCTAAATACCTTGCTTGATTCATTTGGGCAAACCTAACCATATATCCAAACTGCAAATGTTTTTTTTTCCCCCTGGCAAATGAGCAAATAGTAATAACTCTTACCCTTATATACCACTTCACAGTGCTTTTACAGCCCTCTCTAAGCGGTTTACAGAGTCATCACATTGAGCCCAAAAATACGGGTCCTCATTTTGCTGACCTCAGAAGGACAGAAGGCTGAGTCAACCTTGAGCCAGGATCGAATTGCCGGCAGTGGAATGCAGAGTCAGCCTGCAATACTGCATTCTAACCACTGCGGCACCCTGGCTAATTATGCGAGAAGAGCTAATCGGTTTTTATTTTGCTGTAGAAGACAATCCATTTCTTACTAAGTTTGAGTTGAGCAATGCTGCTGGTGCTCAGAATCTCGATGAATTTGGTCTCATCTGTTCCCCATCTCTTCTCACCGGCAGTATATAGGAGCTAGAAAACAGGAATTGAAGGAGCATAAAATGGCTGAGCTTTTCCTGTCCCCCTGGAATATTTCAAATAAGATACTCTGAGCAATTATTATGCCAATTGTTTACACAAGGCTTTCCGAGATAGTCAGATTAAACCCCACTAAGACTCTTCCTTTGACAGATAAGCCAACTTTTGGGGGGCAGTGGTGGGGAACTGTCAGAGGTTGCAAGCATCAATTTCACTTTGCTGGCTGGGGAATTCTGGAAGTTGAAGTCCTGCAGGCTTAAGGTTGGTCAAGGTTGGAGACCCAGTCTGGACTACCATGCCTGGGCTGTTAAACGCAAACAACCACTGGAGGGCAGCAAAGAGATTCAGAAAAACTTTGTCGCCATCTTGTGTCCATCTGGCTTTTTCAGGCTAGATCAGAGTTTCTCCAGTTTAATATGCAGGCTGGAGAAGTCCACACATTTTAAAGTTGTTTTAGGTCGAGAAACAACCAGCCTAGATCTTTTAATATAGATAAGTACAGCATTTTCAAGTCTGGATATCTGCCTTCTGGTTCGCATTTTAAAAAAAGCAGAAAGGCCTTTTAAACAATTTGGATATTTAAATATATATATATAGGACCCTCGTAGCTGGCTCTTTTCCAAAACTGTGATTACCTGGGCATCCCTCTTTGCTACCTCTTCATGGGCCTGTGGATTTTCATCTCTTTTGGCCTGTATTGAAAAGAAGAAGGAAAAGATAACATTCAACGTGATCCCGAATCCTCTGCAAGTAAGATGCATGATTCCTTCCCAAAGCAACCCCGATAGTATTTCTATTGCAATCCAGTTACTTATAGAAACACGAACAGAACCAGGAATAATCAAGACTGGAGTTATGAATCTTATAGTTATGGAGGTTCTTCTTCCTTGACTTCAAGCATCAGAAGTTCTAAGGTGGGCAACTGAGAGCAATTTCAGGGAAGACAGGAGGATCAGAAAACTCTTTTTAACAACTTCTCTCCTCTTTCTGCATTAATTCTCCAAGTGCAATAGAAGTAGTCCTACTGGGCTGGGGAATTATGGGAATTGAAGTCCACAACACCTTAACATTGCCAAGACTGCTCCAGAGAAGAAGCTAAAGGGGTCTCCATTGTTTTGCCAACCAATATCAAGAATGCTTCACTTCCTCCACGGCTATAGCCTTTTCTTGATGCCCTATTTGTCACAGACCAACCTTCTTCTTCAAGAACACAGGAGAAGGGAGAAGGTTGGGCAGCTTGCCTTTGTAGGAATCAAAATATTGACACATACCTTTCTTCTCAGCTCTGTTGTGTGTTCCCCAAAATGGGGATGCCATAGCTCTGGAGGAACCTTGGTGGCTATCTCACCCAACTTCTGGAATGACGTGGGAATTAGACCTAAACCTAGACCTAGTTCTAGAACTAGACTTTCTTCTAGAACTAGACCTGAAACTTAAGACTTAGATCCCTTTTTATTTAAGGTTGTACCAAAAGAAAAAGAGCCGGCTGTCAAAAGTGGGACATGCAAACCTATTGAAATGGATGGTTCGATAGGAATGAGTATAATAGAATGACGTGGGAATTAGACCTAGACCTAAACCTAGTTCTTGAACTAGACTTTCTTCTAGAACTAGACCTGAAACATAAACTTAGAACTAGATCCCTTTTATTTAACCATGTCCAAAAGGGGAACAGAGCCTGCCCCCTTCAAATGTGGCGCATGCAAATCTATGGGTGGCCCAATAGGAATAAATATAATGAGTGACAAGGTTGATTCACAAAATATCTCTTTCCAAAGAAACATGGCAGGGGGGAGGGGTATGATTGGAATAGGTTGGGAAGCTGGGAGGGAGAGAAGGGATTCATGTGAGCCGTTTGCAGCTTGAGGAAAATCTTACAACGTCAAGGTCATAAGTGTCGTAGCCCGCCAGCTGCCAGCAGAGTTGGCGGCAGAATCGGACGATGAGGAGGCCAGTTCTGGAGCCTGGGGAAGGCTGTGATGGAGGCTCTGCGTTGGAAACAGAGATAGAGCCAGGGCCCTCTGACATTTCCTAGCCACTGGAGAGGCAGCTGCCTTTGGAGGCTGATATGAGTGAGGAGGAAGAACAGCTGGGGCCTGTTCTAGACTCGCGTATGCGCAGAGCTGTTAGGAGAGGGGAACTACGGAGGACAAGGAGTCGACTTGGGAAACAAAGCACACATGGACGGTGAAAAGCCCCTCCCTGGCTGGGGAATAAATAGAAGGAAAGAGGAGTGGTGGTTGCAGGAGACAACAGTTAGGATTTCTGAAGATCTGGCTTATCCTGATTCACGCCACAGAGACTGCTTGCCAGAACTTAATTTGCAGCCTTTCGACTGGGAGCTCACAGCCTTGCCATTATCTCAAGAAACTGATAAGGTCTGTTGTTGCATTTAACTCTTTGAAAAACTATTGCTTGGACTTTTTGGTGTGTGAATGCCATTAATTCACAGGAGATAAATCAAGAGGAGTTTTTCATGACAAGGAGTCTGTTTCATGCTTCTGCTAAGGCTGGGTCAGAAGACTTCTGAAAGATGCCAACTGTTTCCCCCAAATTAAATGCTTGACCTGGATTGGCGGACTATGGACACTGGGCAGCCCCAGGGGAAGGAAGAAGGGGGGTTTCACTATACAGCACTTCATGCCAAAATCTCAGATCTGGCTTTTCTTCTTCTGGACCTGTATGGATCTCTCGGTAAAGTTTTACTCTTGGTGATTAAAAAAAAGATATCCCAGGGGTTTCTTTTGCTATGTGTGCCAACAGGACGGTTGACAACGGGTTCGATTAATTCATTTGTGAACAGCTGCACTGCACACAAGGACCTTCCCATAAGATACATTACACAAGGCAACTGCAGGGTCATTTGCACAAATTGGTTAAAAGTTTCCTTACATCCAGCAACGCCAAGAGAGTTCTTTTGAAGTCTCCAGATGTGTCCCATCCAATGTCCTCACTCATAATGGACCTATAAACTAGAACCAAAACGAACAGAGTTAGTGGCGCTCGCTCAGCTGAGAAAAAGGTAAGAAACCCCTGCCTGAATCCTAAGAAGTAGATTTCATATATAGTCAATACAGATAGTCCTCGACTTACAACAATTCATTTAGTCACCGTTCGACGTTACAACAGAACTGAAAAAAGGAAAGAGGAGGGTGAGGGGAAAAAAAGTCCCCCCCCCTTTGTTTTTTCCTTTCAGTAAGGCCAAAGGATTTGAAAGGATACAACAAATTTTGTAAATAAAAACGGTGGCAGCTCACAAAGATTACTAGGTGCAGATAGAAATACACATTATTTCCACAGCAAGGAAGATAAAGCAGGAATGGTTAAACTGAATTATTTTATTTAAAGAGGCAAATAGGTTTTTATTTGGATATCCACTTCTGGAATTTGTGCTTGTGAAGAAAAAAAGAAAGAAACTTTGATCTTGGTTTTGTTGATTAGAAATATTTAGTGTTATAGAAATGGCTAGTTATATATGAATGTGTAAAAGCAAAAAATGGAGGTTGGAATGTGTTTATCTCGTGCTGTGCTAGGAAGAGTTGGAAGACAATTAATGGTGGGATTCAAAAAATTTTACTACCGGTCTATGGGCGTGACTTGGTAGGCGTGGTGTGGCTTAGTGGGCGTGGCAGGGGAAGGATACTGCAAAATCTCCATTGCTTCCTCACCCCGCTAACCTGCTTTCCAGCTCCGTTCTCTTGTGCAGGGCAACGAAAGAAGACGCAGCCGATCAACTGGGACTCAATGGGAGGCAGAGAAGAGATGGGGGCTGGGCCAGTCAGAGGTGGGATTTGCCGGTTCTCCAAACTACTCCAAATGTCCGCTACCGGTTCTCCAGAACTGGTCAGAACCTGCTGAATGCCACCTCTGAAGACAATGCCCCGTTTTCTTTCTTTTTCTCTTTCCCCTTTTCCCCACTCACTTCCCCTCCCTTAATCTCCTATTTTCTTTTTCTCTTGGATTTTATATAATAAAAATGCAAAAAGTGACTTAGGACCATTTTTCACACTTAGGACCACTGCAGGATCCCCACAATCACAGGATTAAAATTCAAGACGCCTGGCAACTGACTCATCTTTATGACGGTTGCCAGGGTCCCGGGATCACTTGATCGCTTTTTTTTGCGATCTTCTGACCAGTAAAGTCCGTGGGGAATCCAAATTCACTTTAACAACATGCTAATAGCTTAACAACTGCAAAGATTCACTTAAACGACTATGGCATGAAATGTTGCAAAAAGGGGCAAAACTCAACTGAACAACCGCCTCGCTTAGTCACAGAAATTTGGGGTTCAATTGTGATCATACGTCAAAGACTACCCCTGTTTCCCCAAAAAGAAGACTGGATCTTATTCTCTTTTGGGCCCCAAAATAAGCACTAGGGCTTATTTTCAGGGGTGTCTTAATTTCTGGAACTGCCCCCTGCACCGGCTTATCTGAGGTAAGGCGAGGCGGTGATGGAGCCACCCCACACAGCCCACACTGGTTTAACCTCAGGACCCCCACAACCAGGCCATCCACACCTCGACACCTGCCTCACCACATGGTCGTGGCACAAACACACTGCTTGGCCTCCTGCTCCGTTGAGGCTGTGAACAAGCAGAAGAAGTGAGCTGGCAACCACGTGGGCTCCTGCTCCAGAGGGTTGCCAATGCTGCCGCCACAAGGCAGGTGTCGGGGCATGGATGACCTGGCTGCGGAGGGCCCTGAGGTAAGCCAGGGCAGGCTGTGTGGGGCGGCTCCATCACCATCCTGCCTCACCTCATGGCTGCAGCACCGCGAGCAACCAGATGGTATGGGTGGGTGGCCAGCTGCACAGGCTCTTAAGTAGGGCATATTTTGGGGGGTGGGTGGGTGGGTAGGGCTTATATTAGGTGCATGTGTAAAACATGCTAAACCTTATTTTCTGGATAGGTCTTATTTT